CTTTCTGAAATAGCTGCCGAAGGCCAACAAAATGACTTGTATCACTTGGAAGGTAATATTATTTACCTCCCCTTAATAGGATGCATGCTTTGAATTGCTTTTGCTTTTGGGGTTTCCCTCCCCACCTCCGCACCCCCCCGGAGAAATCCTTTCCCACCCAATTTTCCTGGTGATCACAGTTACAGGTTTTAAGACAATTGATCTATATAGATTTGCCATGTAATTTATGCTGGAAGAAGCTAGTGGTTCTCATGGGATCTAGGCTCCTGAATTTCGTACAAGCACTGAAAATGACTAAAGACTCATGCTGGTTCTGTTTTGAACTAAATGAATTACTGCTGCTTCTGTTGATGTCAGTATTATCTAGAAATAGTAAATGCGCTATGACAGGGAAAGCCGACACCTGGCAGCCAATTTGTTCAAATTCTCCCATGCAATTTTTTATTGGTGTGGTAGTTCTAAATTCAGAACAGTAGCTGCTTCTGGTGTTTTGGAAGTAGTATTTTCTGTCATGCCACTGAGGGTAATAAATTCGGCAATGTTATCTAAACAATCCACATAAATGAAAGATTAATGATCACTACATAGAGACAATATTATAAGATACTATTAATCCAAGTCTCAGGATCCTCTAAGCTCTCTGCATTACTGTCTGCCTGTGATATGATGAGACACCCCAGCATTCACATGAAGGATGGAAAAACAAGAACTAGATGGAAAAAACAGAGGGGTGGCTAGGGTGGCCACAGCACAGGCCTGATGAAGATTTTATACCTGCTCAGCTCTGGAGCCCGTCCAGCTGTTACTGCTGGGCTGTGCAGCACGGTGCTGGCCACAAGTTTAGGGAAGGCCACTTGTCCTCTGGAGATAAGAGTTGGCCAAGTTGAATAGGGAAGCAAAGTCTATCAAACCCAATAACCAAAGACTTTGACTTACTGGTGGAATATTCCATACTCAGAGAGACATGATTTTGGTCCTGACCTAATTGGCTGTTTTCGTCTCCTTTACATTAACACCATTATTAATTACAAACTATTGATGAAATTATAGTGACTGGTTAAGTGCCAAAAGTTTGTTTTTTTAAGAATTAGCCCTTTTACCAGGTAACTCTCAGAAGTTGGGAGAGAGTGTACATTTCCCTCAGATATTTGTTCCCTATTAAGTTGTCCAAAATGAACTTCAAATAACTACAAGTGATAGTTACTAACATGTGTTGGTGAGTTTATCATATGCCAGACATTGTCTAATGTGTTATAAAATTTTAATCTTATTTAATTCTCGCAACATCTTTATGAAGTACATGTTCTTGTCCCCATTTTAAAGATGAGAAAACTGAAGTTCAGATTAAGATAACTTGCTTGAGGTCATATAGCTGGTCATGCTGACTCTTGATTTGACCCCAAGCGATCTGAGTGATTGCAAAACCCTAGCTCTTAACCACCATTCTGTGCAAATGAGCAATGTCTACAAAATGAAGCTGAAAGAGAGAAAATGTCCTCCTATAAAAATGGGGGGGGGGGATTATTTAGTCATTCATAGGTCATAGGTAGGACTAAGTAAGATGTGTAGGCTGCTTAGAACAGTGCCTGCTCCCTGGTGCCTTTGAAAAGATGTTGGGTATCATGTTTAAGGTGAAGTATAGGTTTTCTATATGCTTTGGCTTGCCTTATTTTCATAGGGAGCCTGCCCCCACGGGAAGGTGGCATAGTGCCTTTGGTGTATAAGCACAGTAATTATAAACCTCGAGGCCAAACCTGGGTGGCACTTTGAAGATGGAATTAAAACTAGCAGGTAGCTGCCAAGTACCCAGCACAGCAGTGTTTGGCAGATGTTCTATTCCAGCATCTCTCAGAAAGCAGGATTTTCCCAGCAATGTGTTTTATGAACATGTCAAAATGCCACATGTTTCCTATGCTTTTCTGATAAGCAAAACATTTAGAATCCGTGCTCTGTCACCTTTAAACACTAAATATTTTGACTGGGGGGAAAAAAAGAAGAAAAAAAGAATACACCTTCCCGCTTACTTCAGAGCATCCAGTGGGTTGATAGTGGCAGAAGTGATGGCTTCCGTTGATTCTGTGTGTGCAGAGACCTCGGTTCCAGGGAGTGCTTTGGCCTGTGGTTTTCCAAGGATGCCATGCAGCCAGTTTCCTTACTGGCTTACAAAATAACTGCTTAGTAGTTGTTATGGATAGAATGTGTGTGTCTCCCCTTAAATGTGCATGTTGACCTGCTAGCCCCCACTGTGGTAGTGTTTGGAGATGGAGCTATTGGGAGGTAATTAGATGAGGTCACGATGATGGGGCCCTCACGATGGAATTAGTGTCTTAATCAGAAGAGACACCAAAGAGCCTAGTGAGCATGGGGACAATAGAACGGTAATGCTGTCCAATTTGTGGAGAAGGAAGCACAGCCATCTCCCTAAGTCAGTGGGCTTTTTCTCTTTTTTGAGGTTAGTAAGGGAGCGAAGAGAGATTGACAAGAGGTTGAATGGGAGCCTAGAAACATCAGGTTACATCATGCTTCAAAAAGCAAAAGGAAGTTGATTACCAGACATACAATTTTTATGTTTTTCAGTGAGATCATCCCAATTAAATGACAAATTTTGCCTCAGGAATGTTGGGTTTTATTCAGAAAATATGATATGAAGACACATTAAAAGAGAATGATGGGAACAGTCTACTGTATTCTTAAAAAATGCACTTCCCTTTTTGGGGTCCCTTTATATGAATACTAATAGGGTTGACTTGGCTCCAAAGCAGAAGATCTGAGTTCCTCAGCATCACTTCAGCCAAAGTTGTGAGGGTAATAGTGTGAGGGCCTTTTGATCTTGCTGATTAACATGGAGCTTGGCTAACCTGATTACATGATTCTGCCAGAAACTGTGTTTAGATCTGTTACTACAGCATATTAAGTTCAAATGAAGCACCTTGGCTCATCTGTTCCAGAACTGTGGCATTTTATTATTTGAAAATGAGGCTCCCTGTTTGCATAAGGAAAAAGTTCAGGTGTATAATTTATTTTGATTTTAAAAATTAATCTCCCTGTTGCTTTGTCCCAGTTAAGAAGTGAAACCCTACATACAGTACAACCATGGGTAATTCAGAAATCCATTCAGTTAATGTATATTAAATGCCATGTGCAAGGTACTGAGGATACTGTGGTGAAACATAACAGGCAAGGCCCAACCCTGTGCTTTTTGTCTTACATGTGAGATATACAGCTATCTGTGATTCAGCCCATTGTTCAACTCTGACCTCAGTCAGTCTTCTTGCTACATGTTGTGGGGACCAGAACAGGGAGCGTCAGGCCGCTGGGCAGGTGGCAAAGATCATTCAAAAGAGCAGGGGAGGAGACTCTTCCCTGTCCCTACATGGGAGTCTGTACTTGTTCTTCAAGAAATCTCTATCTCTGCTATTAAAAAAAAAAAAAAAAAAAAGCAGGGGAGAAAGGACTGGCATTTTGCAGAAGGGAAGCAAGCCCACCCTTGCAATACAGTTGGCAGACTTTAATTCTAAATAATAAAGAGGTAATATGCAAATTGACCATCACACTCTCACAAGATGGCTGCCTACAACCAAGCCGGCAGGGGGGTTAGTGAGGGATGACCAAACAGCTGAACAAGCAGGCTGTATGGGATGACCAGGCCAGCAGGGGGGTTAGTGAGGGATGACCAAATGACTGAACAGCAGGCTGTGTGGGCAACTAGGCTGGCAGGGGGCCCATGAGGGGCAACCAGGCCAGCAGGGGGGGCAGTTGGGGGTGATCAGGCCAGCAGGAGAAGCAGTTAGGGGCAACCAGGCAGGCAGGCAGGCAGATAGGCGAGCAATTAGGAGCCAGCGGTCCAGGATTATGAGAAGGATGTCTGACTGCCAGTTTAGGCCTGATCCCCAGGATTGGGCCCAAACCAGCAGTCGGACATCCCCAGAGGGGTCCCAGATTGGAGAGGGTGCAGGCTGGGCTGAGGGGACCTTCCCCCCCCCCCCCCCACTCCACCCCCGTGCACAAATTTTGTCCACTGGGCCTTTAATATGTATGTAAGAGGGTTGACTTGTTGACTTTGTATTGTACTTTCCCCATTGTATTATTGATATAATTATTAGCATATTTTATTAGGTTGCAATCTGCTATAATATTTAAGGTAATACTCACTGCTCTCACAAACAAAACAAAAATACATGGTGGACCAAACACAAAAGAAGTTTCCCTTTCCTAATCCTATAAAGTCAAAACAGGGTGCCTGTGGGTCGCCTATTGGCCATGAACAGGCTAATGCAGCAGGTAATTCAGGGGCCCTGACAGCTCCCATCCTGTGACTTCCCTATCTGTAGTACATGTCGTCCCAGGGTGCCAGGCCCATCTGAACAAGGCCTGAAGGCAAGGGCATGGAGAACCACACACGAGGGGGTGTAACAGCCCTGGACTGATGCTTACTACTTCTATTCGCCTCCTATCGCTCAGAGCTCAGCTGCATGGCTACCCCTAACTGGCAGATACAATCTGTCTCTCCGTAGCTTCTTCCAGGTAAGAGGACATCGACACCAGAAAAGTATGATAAGATGCCATATCTTAACTCTCTATCTTTTCACTTGCTTCTTTCTTTCTCAGATGGAAAAAAGAATCACAGTCAGAAGCCTCCTCATATATTAACCCTGTGTCCATCACAGATAGATGTGGCTCGGACCTGCATTCCCTTTTCTCGGCCTCTGGTGCTTTTTTTTTTTTGCCAAGTATTGCTGCTTGTGGTGGCACATATTCACTGGATAGCTGTTCCTGAATGCTTTGCCTATAACTGCTTTCGTCTCCGGGCTCTGCCTATAACTGTTTTCGTCTCCGGGCTCCCCATGTGTTCCTTTGAAAGGGAAAGTGCTTAGCATGTAGGCTGGGTGCCACATGTGTTCTGACTTGCTGGCCCATGGAAGTGTTAGGAGGTTCCACCTCGTTGCCCACTGGCCACCCACAGGCTACTAAAGGCAGCATCTTTTTATTTCCTCTCCTAGGTGCCCTGTCAGCGGCCAGGGAGAGCTGGGAATACGACTCGGGTGCCAGGGACCTCCAGAGCCCGGACCTGCAGAGTCAGCCGGCCCTGCAGAAGCTTCTTGAGTGCAGTGGCAGCAGCTTCGAACACCAGCAGGCCGCCGCTCTGCACAAACTGCTCGCACAGGCCCCACACGTCGGCGACTCTGTGGGAGGAAGCTACCTAGAACTGGCCAACACAGTGAGTGCTTTCTGGTGTACAGACCACACCTTTAGGCCTGCGTGCGTTCCAGTGCACATGTGTTCATGTTGAACTCCAGGGGACGTATTGGGTGTTATCTCCCGTATTTACCTAATGAGCATGGTTTAGGCTCCAGCATTGCCCATAACATTACGTGCTCCAAACACTTACGTCAGTGGCTTTACTCGTTACTAAGAGCAGAATGGACCCCTAATGTGTTTTTGGTTGGTAACTTGTACAGATTTAATTACTAGAATATCAATAACAGCTTTTCTACAACTGGAATGTCTGTGTTACCAGAAATTACAAATTAATAGGACATAATCCTTTCTGTTCCCTAATTTGGTATTTACTCAATTGAAAAACAAAGAGGATAGTAAGCTTATTGTTTCTGCTTGTACTTTTAAAATATTGTCTGTAAAAAAACTATGATACAACTTAGAGTTTAATTTTGCTCAGGTTAATCTTCCTTTTTACCTTAGGGTGAATCATTACCATGAGGCACTCTGTGTGAAAAGCTATTGTCATCCTTTTGAGTTAGTTCTGAGGAATGAGGGTGGGTGGCTGATGGCCTGCACTATTTGGGGAGACGTGTGGACAGTTCACAAATTGAGATTGCTACCCAGCCTACCTTGCTTCTTGACACTGAAGTTTGAATGGTGGAGGATCTTGACAATGTCACTTATCTTGTATATATTTACACTCTGTTTTGACATCGACAGTGGTTTTCCAGACGTTTTGTGCTTGAGAAACATTTTCTGATTCAGACATTTTTGGTGGTATGTCTGAAGGAACTAACAATTCTACATATTCCAGCAATAATTAACATACAATCATTGGACAAATCCCAATAAAAGGACATTCTATAAAATACCTGACCAGTATTCCTTGAAACTGTCAAGGACACCCAAAGCAAGAAAAGTCTGAGAAAGAGAAACTGTCACAGCTAAGAGGAGCCTAGGAAGGGGACTTTAGGTACAAACTAAGGGAAGCTGAGTAAACTGTGGACTTTAGTTAATAATGTATCTATATTAGTTCATTAATTGTGACAATTATACCGTAACTAGAATCCCAATGCACAAAGATTCATGCTAGAATGGGCTTTCCTTTTCCTGGCTGCTGGCACTGCCTTTCCACTCTGGCCTAGCCCCTTTCTGCTCAGGCCCAGGAGCCACCTCTTTAGACTCTGCCCTGCCTTCCCACGCTGCCCAGAGGCCCTGAGAGAACAGGGGTGGGACAGAATGCCTGTGTCCCACCCAACCCGCCACTTGACACCTGTGTATGCAAATTAATCGCCATTTTGTTGGGTTAATTTGTGTATCACTCTTGATTGGCTGGTGGCATGGCGGAGATACGGTCAATTTACATGTTTGTCTATTATTAGGTAAGATAACATAAGATGCTGCCCTAGCAGGTTTTCTCAGTGGTTAGAATGTCAGCCTTTGGACTGAAGGGTCATGGGTTTGATTCTGGTCAAGAGCATGTGCAAAAGGCGATCAATTGGTGTGTTTCTCTTACATTGATGTTTCTGTCTTTGTCTCTACCCCTCTCTTCTACACTCTCTAAAAAATCAATGGAAAAAATATCCTTGATGAGGATTAACAACAAAAAATTATTATTATTATAATGTAAGATATTAATAGGGGAAACTGGATATGGGGTATATGAGAATTTTCTGTCCTATTTTTGCAACTTTTCTGTAAATCTAAAACTATGATAAAATTTTAAATGTATTAAAAACGCACATACACACAGTCACTACTAGGGTATGACCATGGCTCATACAATCTGTGAAAGCCTCCGTCGTTATTGCACTATTTGTCACTTGGTCACCCTTCAAGGACATTCTTGCTCAGTTTAAGGAGAACCATTATCTATCCTAATCTTGCCTTCCTGCTTGCTCGGGAGACTAGGCAAGCATCAGTAAACATGTCATCTTTCTCGGGCACAGACTTGGATTTAGACTGTGCTGTTACACATAATTTGCAGCTAGTTGGACTTTATACTATATCAGCTCAGCCTTTGTCAAAACAAACACACCAGAGCAATATGGGTTACATAGCAAGAATCACTTCATCAGATTTATTTTTATCAGAGTTGGCATTGGTCAAAACACATTGATCAAACTTTAGTAGCACCTGCTGTGACTGATTCAGGTTTCATGGCTCACCAGTTTTCCGCAGCAAGCCTACTGTTGAAAGCAGCAGGAGTTGGCTGTTACCTACCTGTATGTGGCTGCTTGGTTCTTGGCCTCGGCAGTAACCTCTTGGATTTCATTTTGTATACCCATCTCTCCTGGTCAGAGGCCAGCTCATCCCCGGAGTTTCCCACCCCCATGTTCTCTGTGTGTTGTGGGTGAAACGTTGGAACTGATGTAGCTGCCCAAGATGGCCTCTGCAGGTGCCAGTGTAAGAAACACTCCCTTAAATGTCGAGCACACAGCTCAGGCAGGAGTGCTCACCTTACTAAAATTCATGAACTGCACACTAACAGCTTGCACATTGTTCTGTATATGCATCTAGAAGAGCTTAAGACAAGCCCATAGCCTATGAGGGTGACTGTTTATTGGAATACATCGAATAAGTTTTTTTAAAGCTACAATTCCACAAACAACGTGTGCACACTCACTTAAGATGATCCCTTGGTGAGAACAAGACCATAAATGCACTGAAGTCCTGTGATGGTGATTACATTAATTATCTCACTGAATTGAAAATTTTGAAAAACCTCTAATTCTGTTTAAATTCTCAGATCCTTGATAACGTCTTTGGACTTTGTGGGAGAGTGCATTTTGAGTCACACTTCCTCGCTCTTCCTATATTTTTGTCATTTGTCATGTGATGTTGGAGTCCTCCTGTCAAATGTGGGAAATAGAAAATGATCTTTGTTTTATCCACGGTGCTTAGGATGGTTGGTTTTATAGCAATAGCTGATGCAGGGTCTGCTCACAGAGGTCCATGGAGCTCAGCTTGAGAAATGCCCTGTATAGGTGGCCAAAGAAAGCAAATAACTTCTCTAAACTGCACACTTGGGCAATGTCTTCACTTACATAGTACTCGCATTAAAAATATGTTCCTTCCAAAGCAAATGCTAAGCTAATAAAATTAAGTTCTGTTCTTTTTTTTTTTTTTTAAACAGCAAAAGGCATTTTATCAGTGCCTAGTTCAGAGACAGAGAGCACATAGTAATTCACACTGGGAAAGTGTAACACAATTTCATTAACTACCCTGTTTCCCCGAAAATAAGAAAGTGTCTTATATTAATTTTTTCTCCCAAAGTTGCACTAGGTCTTATTTTCAGGCGATGTCTTATCTTTCCATGCACTAGGTCTCATTTTCAGAGGATGTCTTATTTTCGGGGAAACACAGTAGTAGCAGGGGGTTGCCTACTGAGAAGTAAAGAAAACACTAATGAATATAGGAGTTGAACTTGGAAAGACCAGCTGAAGGAGGAGACCAGGTGAGAGTTGGAGCAAGCCTGGTTCACCACATAGGTAAGTGACAGAGAAGCAACAACTTTCAGATCATAAAAAATGTAACTTCTGCCTCTTGAATTTCACTATGGTCTTGCATGGCCATACAGAACCACACAGGAAATAGAACTCTGGGAAACATAGTTCCAGCTTGGCTAAGTTGAGTTAGTACCAGGCCACCCCAGAGCAGCAATAAAATTGCTGGTACAAACTGAGCCTTATTCAGAAAGCTATCAGCAAAGCAATGTGAGACACTAGGTTAGCGAAGAAGAGATGTATTGGGAAAGATATACTCTGTTCCCTGATAAGTTTCTCTCCCAGGATTTGTATTTCAGGGGAGGGTGCTGGTATCTTACCTAATAATAGACAAACATGTAAATTGACCATACCTCTGCTATGCCCACAGCCAATCAGAGTGAGTATGCAAATTAATCCAACAAAGATTGTGGTTAATTTGCATATGTACCTGAGTCCTGAGAATATCCTAGGTACTCAGGTAACTCCCAGCCAGTCATCGAAGGGACAGCCCCCCCTCTCCCCCGCTCAAGCCTAAAGCCAGATGCCACCTGCCCACGTCCGGGCCCCCAATCAGGGACCCAGGCAGGCAGGGGTGGGCAGCCAGCGCCAGACACTGCCTGCCCAGGGTCTGGGCCTGATTGGGCCCTGGGCAGGCGGAGGCAGACAGCATCTTCAGGATCACTGTCTGCCCCCGGGCAGCCCGTGGACACCGGTGGAGCAGGCCCAGGTTGAACATTTTAAAAAAATATATATTTTATTGATTTTGTACAGAGAGGAAAGGAGAGAGATAGAGAGTTAGAAACATCGATGAGAGAGAGTCATCGATCAGCTGCCTCTTGCACACCCCCTACTGGGGATATGCCCGCAACCAAGGTACATGCCCTTGACCGGAATCGAACCCGGGACCTTTCAGTCCCCAGGCCGACGCTCTATCCATTGAGCCACCAAACCGGTTTCGGCCCAGGTTGAACATTTTAATGAAAATGGGATGCCTGTGCCCTGTCCCACCGTGCCCCGTCCCTGGCAAGGAGAGGGCAGTGTGCAGTTAGGAGGCACCAGGACTTGGAAGGGACTAGGAGCAACCTGCAGGCGCGCTACCAGGAAGAGGTGCTGAACAATGAGGACACCGAGGGCTGGCTGATGGAGCACGCAAAGCTACAGATGAGGTGGCTCTCACCTGCGCTGAACTCAAAAAGTACATCGATAGCCTGATGGAGGAAATCGCCTTTCTGAAGAAGGTGCACAAAGAGGAGATCGCCGAGCTGCAGGTGCAGATCCAGTATGCTCAGATCTCCGTAGAGATGGACGTGTTCTCCAAGTCCGACCTCTCCGCCACGCTCAAGGACATCTGCACCCAGAACGAGAAGCTGGCTGCTAAGAACATGCAGAATGCCGAAGGTTCTCCGTGCTGACCGAGGGCACTGCCAAGAATCCCTACGCGGTGCACGCCCCCAAGGACGAGGTGTCCGAGAGCCACTGTCTGCTCAAGGCCAAGACCCTGGCGATCAAA